TTCCTTCCTTCCTTCCTTCCTTCCTTCCTTCCTTCCTTCCTTCCTTTCTTTCTTTTTTCTTTTTTTCTTTCGTTCCTTCGTTTGCTCGTCCGTCCGTCCGTTTCTTTGTTCGTTAGTTCGTTCTTTCATCATTTCTTTTTTTTATAAAATGTTTTATGCATATCACGAAGAACATTACAAGTACAAAACAGTAATTCATTACTACATTATTTCTCTCTCTCTTCTCTCTCTTTCCTCCTCCCATCCTTCCATTCCTTTATTCATGTACTTCTTCATTCATTTTATTTGTCTGCTTTTTAGCTTTTCAATCATCTGGCCATGCCCGTAGATCTTCTGGTGTTCGACGATATGAAGATAGGAAAGAAAAATCCTTATAATTATGTCCAGACAGTTGCTCCTGGTACTACCAATAACATACCAATGTCTATAGCACATGATAAGGATCTGTATATTAAACCACACTACCCCAGGTAATGTTATATGAAGACCGTTTCTTGAAAACATCAAAATTACCGCTGATTTTTTGTCTTTTTACTCTCTTGGGAATTTTCAAACCTTGAAATCTTTGGCTTGATCTAAGTCAGGGCACGGCTAATTCACATATGATACCCTGAAACAACCTCTGGGCTATCGAACCCTGAAACAACCTCTGCGCTGATCCAAGTCAGAGCACGGCTAACTCACAGAACGAACCCTGAAACAACGTTTAGGCTGATCAATGTCACTCATCGGTAAATTACCGAGGTTGGAACCGGAACTGGAGAGCCTGAATGAAAACCCTCAAATCAAGTATTGTAGCATTAAATGAATATATGTGTTTTTTCCAGGTGCGATGTTTGTCCAGATTCCATATCCTGGCGTTTATTTTCTAAGAACGAGTGTGACTTCATTTTAAAATTCCCGCAAGAGCCATTAGTGACGTCCTTAGAGTCACTGGAATCTCTTGAGTCACTGGAATCTGAAGAACCTCTACAGGTCAAGGTACAGTAAATATATGACAGGGCTATACAATGCTTGTTATAACTATATTTAAAAAGTTTCGATTTATAGAGGGTAACACAAAATAGTTACGATATCTAACAGACCAATGGCCCTCCAGAAGACTCCGGAACTCCTATTAAACTCTGGAATAGCGTTTGAGGAATGCTGCATGAATCTTGAAACTCTCGCGGTTTGCGTAAAGATGGTTTTACACGAGGCGATTCGCAACAACGATTTTTTCGCGCAACAATCATGCTCAAAAATTATTCTGGTGTAAAATGGCGCGCGGTTACGATTGTTAACGATATTGTATTGCGGCAACATAATGTAGGATTTTGAAAACCTTCAAAACTCACAACATTGTTGCCATCAATGTGTGTGGCCGCCCGCGCTATGTTACACGAGGCCAACTATTAACACAACAATGTTACGCTAAAAATCGTCTCAAAAAATCACCTTAAAAGGCATTAAAAAATGAGAATATAAAATATTCCTTGGCTAAAACCTCCAAGTTTTTATTTTTTGATCGCACCAAAGTATTGTCATCAATTTGACAGGTCCGCTGGCAAGAGGATATTTTGAACAAGAAGCCAAGTAATGACGTACCTCATCACGTGATCCACCTCCATCCACCAATCACGTTACATAATTTGCTGCCAGTAGAGATAGCACGTTTATCAAAGGTACGAGAATAATATAGTGGTAGAAGTACTTTGAAATGAGAAAAGAGAAGAGCAGGGCAGGGGAGAAGCAGAAGAGAGCTTGGCAGGGCAAAGCAAGAATGAAACAGAGTAGGGCAATGCAAAGAAGAGTAGGGCAGTGCAGAGCAAGGCAAAGTAGAGCAGAGCAAAGCAGGGCAGATAAGGGGAAAACAAAAAGCAAAGGAGAGCAGGGCAGGACAGGGAGAAGAAGAAGAGAGCTTGGCATGGAAAAGTAGGGGAGAGTAAAATAGAATAGGGCAGTGTAGAGCAGAGTATGGCAGGCAGAGTAGAGTTGGGCAGTGCAGAACAGAGCAGGGAAGGGCAGGACAGGACAGGGCAAAGCAGATGAGAGCAGAGCAGAGAAGTGTAGGGCAGAACAGAGCAGGGAAAAGCAAAAAGCAGAGGAGACGGGCCTGGGGTAGGGCAGTGCAAATTAGAGCAGGGCAGAGCAGAAGAGAGTAGAACCCAAATAAAAATTTATGGGAGGATCATCCTACTTTCATATATTTCTGCTTCGAAAGTGGCTCGTATGTAAAACTGTACCAAAACAAAGCTGACATGCTCAACCAAGGTAGATACTACGTTGGAATTCAATAGTTTTGCAGTCAGTTGTATATTTAATTGTTGTACTTTGGCAGGCTAACGAAGAAAAAGAAGAACTGGTTCTACCTGGTGAAAAGGTTTCTGTCATGACTGAATCGGTAGAAAATGTTTGTCAGCTGACAATAAAGGTACGAAAGCACTGTCGTTTGCCTTTTTTGTTGACTTGTTGTAGAAGGTGTTTTGAAGCTTTTGTTGCTAGTTTTGCAGTTGCTGCTGTTTATGTGATGTTGCTGTTGCTGCTGCTGTTGTTGCTACTGTTTCTGTTGCTGCTGTTACTAATCATGCTGCTTCTGATGCTGCGGTTGTTTTTGCTGCTGCTGTTGCTGCTGTTGTTGTTGCTGCTGTTGTTGCTGTTGCTGTTGTTGTTGCTGCTGTTGCTGTTGTTTTTGTTGTTGTTGCTGCTGCTGTCGTTGCTGCTGTTGCTGATGCTGCTTCTTATGCTGCTGCTGTTGCTGTAGTTGTTGCCGTTACTGTTGTGTTGTTATTGCCTCTGCTGTTGGTACTTTTCACAGTTGTCGATGCTGTCATTAAGCCACTAAATAGGAGAAATCTATGCATAACGTATAGACTTATAACGAAAAATATGTATAAATTGTTATATTCGTAACTATTTCCAGCTAAAGAACTACAAAGAAGAAGACTGGGTTGGTACGTTGAGCATAACCAAGGAAACAGGAAAAACAACAGAACTAGTCGTGACTTCTTTACAAGACAACACAAATCAACTGGTTAGTATTCTTAAGTTTACTGTTTGATGTGCGTGGAATTTTCTTTACGGAACTCTAGTTTGCAATAAGTAAGCAAGAGTGAATTGACCTAATCGGCTAACGTGTTGCTATGTACGTTACCACCCAATTCAAACCTTCTGGGAATAGAAGCGTTAAATGTTTCTATTAATTCAACTGTGAAACCAAAATATAACGAACAATGAAACTTACTCCCATGTGGTTTGAATTGGGTGGAAACGTTTATAGCAACACATTAGCCGGTTAGGTCTATCAAGGGTGCCGTACTGTACTGTGACGGTACACTTGCCTCTCGCCCTTGGGGTGTCGAAATCGATTCCTGGACATTATATGAGTATAGTTTATTAGGTCTCTCCAATCGTCTTTCCCTTGATTCAACGTTTTTCTCCGGGTTCTCCAGTTTCCCTTCCTTCGAAAAGCTAAAAAGGTATATTCCAATTCCTGTCTTCCCATTCATTCGTTCCAACGACGTCAAGATTGTACGTGTCCTAACGTCCTATTGTAGACAATTAGAATATATTACTATATACATAGAAATAGCGCTTTATAAATGATGTTATAATCATTCATATTACTCTTTTAATCTTTAGGTTCTCGGGGTGCTGATAATGCCAAGTGGTACTACTGATGTAACATTATATGCACCATACTGGTTGATCAACAAGACCTATTTTCCAATGGAATGCAGGGTAAGAATGGCCATCCTTTTTTAAATTTTCCATCCCCATTTTCATACATATTATTCACTAAAGGCCCTGTAACACATTGAAATCTTTAGCTAAAACTAGTTTCCAACGGCGTTGCGATACAAGTTTCACGGGGGTGTTACACGGCGCAATTTCGTCCTTAGATCAGCCCAGAGGTTGTTTCAGGGATTGATCTGTGAGTTAGCCGTGCCCTGACTTTGATCAGCCCAGAGGTTGTTTCAGGGTTTGATCTGTGAGTTAGCCATGCCGTGACTTAGATCAGCCCAGAGGTTGCTTTAGGATCCGATCTGTGAGTTGGCCATGCTCTGACTAGATCAGCCCAGAGGTTGTTTCAGGGTTCGATCTGTGAGTTAGCCATGCCCTGACTTAGATCAGCCCAGAGGTTGTTTCAGTGTTCGATCTGTGAGTTAGTTGTGCTTTTACTTAATTCAGCCCAGAGGCGGTTTCAGAGTGACTTTTTACTTAAAATGTCGAGTGTTTGGTTGCAGGTGTCTAAGACGCATCAAATCTATAATCAATCAGCAGTGGACGATCAGCCAGTACTGTTTAACTTTACTGGAAAGTCATCTAGGAGGGTAAGTGTTCTTTGCCAAGAGTATGGGGTAACAAAAGACATGACCGAGTAGAAGTCTGAGTAGAAGTTGCTAACTTTGCTCGAAAAATTTGCACATGATTAGACTTTCGTCTTGGCTCGGATGATCGTGTAAAATTGTCCCGTCTCTTAGAGACGTTAAGCACAGAGGGCCACAAGTTTATAAACGTTAAGTTACAACTGTCAAATCCTCTTCTTCTTGTATACTAGGTACGACTAAAGATTCTAGATTGTCCTTGGTCCAAAAGGTTTTCACTTGATGCTGTAGGCGACTGTGGAGTCGTGACGTGTCATAACCCCAAGAAAACACGAAAGTTTGAGGTGACTTGAAATAATTATTTGACCTTAATAAATACAGTGGTACCTCTATTAAATAGACACCTTCGGGACATTTCCTGGAGTTCTTTTAAAAGAGGGTGTCTGCTCAATGGAAGTTTGCTTGACAATAAGAATGAAAGGAAATTTTCGAACTGTGCAACTAGCTATCCGTTTAATGAAGGGTGTCCGATGAATAGAGGTTTGTTTTACAGTAAATATAGGAAGATTATTTCGTGACTGTGCAACTAGCTGTCCGTTTAATGAAGGGTGTCCGATGAATAGAGGTTTGCTTTACAGTAAATATGGGAAGAAAATCTCGCAACTGTGCAACTAGCTGTCCGGTCAATGAAGGGTGTCCGATGAATAGAGGTTTGCTTTACAGTAAATATGGAAAGAAAATGTCAGGACCGTACAGCTAGCTGCTCGTTCGATGACGGGTGTCCGCTTAATAAGGGCTCCGCTTAACGGAGGTACCACTGTAATTGTCTGGTGGACACGGAAGCAACTCGAGATTCTAGATCCGACCACCAGGAAGATAAACTCGCATCTTGTTTTATTTTTCATGATTCAGTTTGTTGTACAAATCGAGATGTCGCAGACAGGTCTTACTAAGATCATCACTTTAACACCCAAGTACGTGGTCATCAACAAAACAGAGGTAGGTACACCTAGGAGATGGGATGAATTTGACACTTAGCTTATTTAATGAATAGTGAATCCAAACCTCTTTACCTTGGGCTTGCCAGCGCCAATAAATTAGGGGGGAGGGGGGTGCTAATTTATATATCGCAAGGAATTGTGGGATACCTTGTTATGTCAATTTCATGTTTGATTTCCGGTACTGAAAATAGCCTTGAATCCTAATCTGTTCTCCATTTTAACTTTTAAGTGTAGTGACATCATTGACCTTTTTACCTTGGCCGTATTTTTTTCCCCATTTCAGAACACGTGTCATTCCCTATCATGCCTTTTTACTTTAATGCTCTGTTATTACTAAACATTGATTTCGTTCTTCATAATTGAAATCATCTTCATTGAGGGATGGCTTTTGTTGATTGATTGATTTTGTTTTCAGTTTTCCATATCGTACTGTGAAGACAGCTCAAAGTCACCACTGTGGTTTGCCATTGAACCAGACGAGGTAAAGTAGGATCGTTCCTTGCTTTTTTTTCATTGAAATGATATCTCCTCCGATCCTCCAATCCTCCCCGACTCAAACCAGAACAACAAGGACGTCTACATTCAGACTAAGTTCTGTTAATCATGTCCATTTTTCTTGCAACTTGCAATGCAAGCTGACGATGGCAACTTGCAACGTAACGCTTCTTGGTCTGCGAAACCTGGTCTGGAAGAGATGCATTGCGATTGGTCACAGCGTTGCATTGCAAGTGGCAAAAAAAATTTCCTTATGTAACAGGGCCTTAACCACTGGACCGTCTCATCTTATCTCATATTACTTTATTTCAAAAAAGGGTGTTACACCTTGTGCAAATTGCAAGCAACGGCGTTGTATTGCAAGTTGCGAGAAAAATCCTCGTGTAACAGGGCCTTACCATTAGACCGTCTCATCTTTTCCCATATTACAGATCAAGCCCTTTTGGCCAAAAAGTTCCGGTAAACGAATCCTCATCAAGCCAACCTTGTCAGCGTTCGCCTCTAAAGCAATACCATTTGAATACTCACACACGACTGTACTGCGCATGTTCGAACCAAGGGCCATTAACGTCGAAGTGCACGGAGAGGTGGAGGACTCAGTGACCACAATTCTCTTCACACCCTACTCCCCTGGGGTAGCTACGATACGGATTGAAAACCTTTGTGATGATGTTGCTCTCCGGTTTATGCAAGAGTGAGTATTAGAAATCTGGAATTCAAGATCTATCCACCTGTACCTTTAGCTATTGTATCACAAAATTCGACACGAAATACAAGTAATTTGAGCTATAGACCACTTGCAACACTTCGGAATGCAGCTCAGTTTGGAGGGCAAACAATAGGTTTCCAATTCTCAGGAGATTGAAATTCTTTTGTTTTGTCCTCCAAATTGAGCTGCTTTGACGTCCCATGCTAGAGGTCTATTCCTAGATCTTAGCATCGCTTATCTTCTTTGGCTACAGCAACCTTTTTAAAAATATGTACACTTTCAACTGTTCAGAGATGCAGGTCACGTGACCATACTTCAACCCCAGTTCTCCGTTCTGTACACGTGGGATGATCCTACCAAGACACGCAGGTTGTTATGGAAACCCTACCTCGGTGTGGACGATGCTATGGTAGCGCCTGTCTCCAAGGTAATGCAAAGAATAAACTATTTTGCGCCTATTGATTTTTTATTCATTCATTCATTCACTCACTCACTCACTCACTCACTCACTCACTCACTCATTTATTTATTTATTTATTTATTTATTTATTTATTTA